TTGTTTTTAATATTCAAAATTGAAGGACATATTTAAAATTAGTCTAACTACTTGTCATGTTTTTGTTGATTTAAGTAATTTCACAAAAAGAGTACTGTATCACTACAGGTAGGTACGTATAAGTACTGACAATACTGTACATAATATGTATTCGTGTTATAAAATATAATAAAACAAATGAAAGAAAGTATTTAGATGATGAAATTTATCCTTTATTATTAAAGTACTTGATTGATAATTGATTAATAATAAAACCATGAAAACTAGATATTTATCTATATATATATACCTAGTCTTCATGATTAAAACAATAAAACAATGAGCTTATTAATAATAAATTATATCCATATTAGAAATACGTAAAAAATTTGAATTGGACCGATAAGGACACGACATTAAAAAGACGCGCAGTGGCGTTCTGGGTAACTTAATACACAGCAGGGTCGAGGAAAGAATAAAAAAAGAAAAGAAAATCTCTTCAAATGAAGGCATTGGCAACACAAAGCCTAACAACTTGCTTGGATATATTAACGTGAAGCATCAAAATTTTCAAAAAAATTTGAATGAGAAATATTTCATCCATGTTATGAATAACAAATAAATCGCTATATTGATCCTTCTATTATCACGCTAAAGAAAAATAGTTAGAAATATTTAAAAATAAATAAATCGAAACGATATTCAAGTAAGGGTAAATAGAAACTATTAAACCTACAACAGACCTTAGTATTAAGTTGGTTAATGTATTTTTATAATTAAAATAAATTGTTGTACCTAAATAAAAACTTCTACATTTAAATAATATTCCGCGGCACACGGATTAACAAACCGTAATGGAAACAATGATGAGACAGCTAATCTATGTACAATGTTATTTGTCATATTCTATTTCGGTTTGTTAAATCATTACATTCGTACAAATTACATTTTTTATGATTACTGCCAAGAGTATATGAGTATTAATATTAATAACAAATAAATTAAAAAAACTAAGCCTTTTTAAACGTACTTCTTTTATGGCGATTGACAAGTATTTATAAATATTATTGATTGTTATAAGACATAATTTTTAATATTTAATTCATATTTCAAATAACAATACATTGTTATATCCTAATATGCACTATAGCCTAATAGTTTTAGTAAAAATCGTTTTAAACTTAAATGAGAGTGTATATAAACTATTACAACCTTAACAGACCACAGTATTCCATCGATTAATGCGTTAAAATAATTTTTTGTAAATAAAAAACATTTAAATTTAAATAATATTTTTTGGCGCCATACTGCGATGGGAGCAACGATGAGACAGATAATCTATGTCTAATATTACTTGTATTATTTAATTCACGTTTGTTAATTATTGTCATTCTTACAAATTATGTTTTTTATAATTCCTGCCCATTGTATATATTAATACTAATGAAATAAAAAAATAAATTATTATTTATTTTTCTTTAATGATTAAAGTATAATTAATTATTGAAATATTGTATTTGTTCTTTTTATTAGAGTAAACAGCCGAAATCTAGAAGCCGATCCAGAGTAAAACAAACTTACGAGTGACAATCACTTATCTACTTACTCCCAGGAATAACGGTAAGTCGTTTTTATTTTGAATAACAACTGTAATTATAACAAAATTGATTAAATTTATGTTTTTAAGCTTTGACTTAATTTTTTTATATTTAATCCATTAACTTATTAAACTTAAAATAATTAAGTATTCTCCGTTGTGTAAATAATATTTTTCCATTACATAAATCAATTTTTCTCCTTTCTATATTTAGTTAAATTATTAATATTCTAAATTTATAAATTAAATTTCAATTTATTTGAATTGGTATTTGTTTTTTATTATTAAATATATTTTTGTGTTTTAACTGCATGAGTAATCTCTAGACCCCTTTACATTTTTTCTTTTGTTATTAAAGTATTCATTTTTATTAACAATTTAAATATAATGTTTTTAATACATTTATTTATATTTTTTCAGTACATAATAATGTTTAAAATTATGACATAATTTATATATTCCCCGGCCGCGTATTACCAAATCGGCTAGAGCGGAGATTCCCAACTTTTTTTGACTCACGACACCCTTTATTATTTTTTAAAAATTTGGAGGCACCCTATAGCCAATGCTTTATACTCTATAGTTTATACTGAATACACAATACTAATATATCATATATTTAAATTTATATTTTGTAACTTCGGTTTTATTTAGCATTAATAAATAATAAAGATAAGACAAAGTAACAAGTATTTGACTGTAAATAACTCTAAAACAGTTCACATCAAATCGATAGCAATCAAACCAGTATGAAAATTAAAATAAATTGAACATCTCAGTATTACTATGTAAAAATTATATGTTTTAATAATTAATTCATTAAATTATATTTTGTATACCTAATTAACTATACACAATAGTTTTTATACTATAGACATAGAGTATAGTCTGTTTTATTACTCACAGTACTATATTTTTCATGAAGGCGCTTAAAAATAAATGTATATTTCAAATATTTTTGCCGCACCCTAAATTTTATATCGCGGTACCTTAGGGTGCCGTGGCACCCTGGTTGGGAACCTCTGGGTTAGAGCCCCATCGTCGTATACAAATACGCTGTTTTCATTGGTTTATTTGAAAAAACCGCGAAAATATATTTTTCTAATATCAAATAGGGTTTAGCCAACTTTCTTAAACAACATAAAATAAGATATAAATAAAACAATTTCTGTTTTGAGTAAAAGACATTTATAAATTATAAAACATTCTTACTTCACTTATTGTTCTTAAAAATGTTAAAGCATTACATGAGTCAACGGTAGGATTATGAGTCCATACAATTTTGATTAAAGCATTTAGTGGTGAAGAATATTTTAAATAATCATCATTCTTTCTAGTATTTTTTTTTTTTTTTTTAATAAAATATCAATCGAAGATAAGCAACCAGTAAATTGGTTAGTACTTTTTTTTTTTTTTAATTATAGTGACTGATAATATTCTTGTGAAAAATTACCCTACACAGTATAAAAGTATTGTTTTTAAATATATTTCACAACTTATTTAATTTGCATTTAAATAATATATTACTTGATTGGTTTTAATATATCTGACTTATAACAAATTAATGAATCAACTTAGGTATATATCATCAAATTATAAATTAGATATTAATTAATTACATTAAGAATTTGGTTATAATGTATAGGTACATTTTTGTGATATTGTTATAGGTATTAATTTTAAATGAAATTATGATAACGAGTGTGTAACATATCAACCTGGACAAAATCGTATTTCTTTAAGTTACAAAACTCCCTACTCTCTAACGTTATTTCTAACGTTTTTACTAAAATTTTTTAAAGTGTGTACTAAATTCAAAACTAGGCTTTCAAATTCTGAGCTCCGTTCATATCCATTGTGTTTTTCGCGATTTTTTTCAGTAGAAAAAATCTAGATTCTACACTCAGAGGTTTCATTGCACCTTCTCCTCGTAAAAAATTAAACAAATCATCGTTGGTTAATTTTTTTAGTTTTTTACCGCTACTACAGCCTGCTGAAAACGAGATTATAATGAACACATAAGCAGATATAGGCAGAGCAAATTTATTAAAATCAATTATGTAGCTTGTATACATTATAAATAATATAATATAAAGATGTAATTTTTTGTAATTTTAAAGTTATTGAATTATTTACTAACGAAATATATATTATATCATTAAAAACACAATTTAAAAAATTTGAATTTTATAACTTCATTAATATATGTGTATATAAATGTGTTTTAATGGTACTTACCTTCATACGTATATTCCATTGTGTATACAAATGCAAAAAGAATAATTTTAATAATTAAAATGTGCTTCCAATAAAACCAAAATGAAATAAATACTCACGATGATAGACAATATTTTTTAAATTATATACATTTTAAGTTGTCTAAAGACATCAATAATATTTATGGCTTTAATTTTATCAAATTAATTAACTAATAGATATATATATATAGGTTAGGTTATACCTATAAAATAAAGATTTCATTTAGATAACATTTTATCATACTTTCTGAATTAAGTTTTGTGTAAAGTAAATTTACTTTTCAGATCACTGTGCGGCGACTTTGTGATATAAATCACAGGTGTGTGTCGAGATCGCTATGTATATCATCGGATATTACACGAGCACGGATTAATACAACCGTCGTGACTGTATCTCTCGACAGGCGACACGGCGCACTCAAGTCCGATGGTGGCGGTGTAACAGGCAAATCATACCCCCGGAAAATATTACCGATGGGGAAGTAAGATTTTCCAAGGCATATATTACCCCCGGTACTATTATCCTAGGTTATAGTCACCCCCGGTAAGATTATCCTAGGTTAATTATTCCCCCTTCAGTGGGTTCGATTATCCTAGGAAAGTTTTACCCCCCGGTAAGAATACTCTAGGATAATTTTACTTCCCAATAAGAAATTACTAGGAATATTGTACCTCGAGAGAGGTATGATTTCCTACGATATTTTTTGTTAATAAAAATAGAGGAAAACCAAATTTTATTAATAAAATTATGTTTATAGGTACATACCATTGTCTTTATATGTTGAAACGGAGTGCCGGGATTACCGAAACCCGGATCTTTTTATAAATGTTCACGAAATAAATATCAAGTTATTTATTTAACATTAAATAAAAGTAATACATTTAATAAAATTATTCCGGGCCGCGCGGCTGGTTCGAATATGCGACCGCGGCAAGCGGTATTGGACCTGAGCAGATGCGATAGAAAATTGGATACACAGTCGACAGCAGACTTAAGCAAACGAGCGTACCGACCGTGATCACTTTACCAGCGGACACTTGTGTAAGTGCGCAGGAAAGGTTTGTACGGATAATGACCCTGAAAAGGGCCGTTTTTTAGTGTCGACGAATCGCGGAGCTCCGCGTGTAAACATCGCCGGAGCCGGATTCGTGGGTTGTCTTATTCGTCGTTGTTTTTCACGGCCGTGG